CGATGCGTAAGCCTCACAATTAAATCAATAAATTAATGAAAAATATGAAATAATAAGTAACATCTTAATATCAAAGTAGGATATTAAAGTAAGATCAAAAAATGTCAAAGTTAGTCCATCCAAAGTCATACAATGCTGCAATTAATGTTAAAGAAATTCTCTCTCTCTCTCTCGAGTTTTTTTTTTTTTAATGAAATCTTAATTGTTTTGGTTGGCTCTCAGATTTGAAATGATTGGTGTTGAACTTCTTTTTGTTAAAAGATCATTATTAATTTCATTCGAATGGTTGGTGGCGAGTTAGCTTCGTCTTGTTGGTACTGGAACTTTTATTTTATCCAGTGAACGTACGCTCCTCTACGTTCGGTTTAGGTAAAAAAAGCGCCTGTACCGAGTACCGAGTTGTACCGAGTTTTTTGCAAAAAACTCGGTACAGGCGTTTTTTTGCCTAAACCGAACGTAGATGAGCGTACGTTCACTGGATGTAATAAAAGTTCGTTGGTACTGGGCGTTGTTGGCCTTAAAAAGTCTCCAGTTGAATCCAAACAGTGTGTTTATTGCGCGCTGTATGTGATGATAATTGAAAGTTATTTAATTCCTTTGAATTTTAAAAATTCGCATGTCAATGATTTTTCAACATTTTTATATTATCTTTAAAATATAGAATTGAACCCATTTATGATTTCCCAAAGTTATCATTGTTTCCTTAGGCAAATAATAGGCTTCATTTGGAACGACTTTTATTCTTCTTCTTAAAATCATTTTTTAATATAAAAATTATTTTTTTATTAGAAAGTTGAATAATGAAGCAATAAGAAAGTCGTCCCAAATGAAGCTTTAATATCTAAATAAAAAAGAGTTGCATTTTTACATATTCTCATTATAGATAGTGAGAAACTCCAAACTATTGGAATTGAGGAAGAATGGATTAGATATTGTAATCCATAGAAGGATCAAATGTCAAACAAATCAGAAAAATATAAGATCACTCGGGCTAATATATTAGAATGAGAAGAAATCAAGCCACTTTGCCTGAGAAATTCATTGATGTGATTATGACTTCGTTTGAAACGGCTTTCTTGCTGCTTCTTAAAACTTCTTAGTACAAAAATTTTAAGTTTTGTACTAGAAAGCTGCTTTTTGAAGCAGAAAGAAAGCCGTCCCAAACAATGACTATGATTGCACCTACAACTGATTTTCTTATACGGAAAATCAAATTAAACTTTGAGAAATATAAAAGTGCTTATTCGATAAGACAAATTAAGGCTTCGTTTGGGATGGTTTTTTTAATGCTTCTTAAAATAGAATTTTAATATAAAAATTAAAATTTATGTACTATGTGTTAGGTATTAGTCCTAGATTTAGGTTTGCTTTTGTGTAGCTATTTGTATAGTTGTAGGTGTTGCTTTTGTGCGTATTAATAGGCTTTAGCTTGTATTAGGAAAGCAGCCAAGGGAAATAAAGTTTTTGAGATCATTTTTGGCTCACGGCTCTTCTCCCCTATCCCCCTCCTCTCTCCCTCTCTAGAGATCTTGCAAGAAGATCTCTCAACAAGATCTTCCTCCTTCGGTGTTTAACATTTGGTATCAGAGCCTTGGTGGCGATCTTGAACAAGGAAGGTGTGCTGTCCAAGAAAAGAGAGGAGGTGGTGGTTGTCGGTGCCGCCGACGTGTTTGCTCAAGCGAATTTGTTCGTGCATAAAGCATTGATCGGAGCAGAAGAACGACAGAGCTGGAGTTGGGCCGCTTGGTTGGCTCGGGTCAGATCTACTCGGCGGACTGGCCGAACGCTCACAGGCGCTTCAGGCGGAAGCTGGCTTTTGTCCAGGTGAGACCAAAGGAAGCCGGAGTTAGCTTTGAGCTCCGGCGTCGGGATCAAGAAACCGGAGGTGGTCTGGAGAAGTGCCCGTAGCGACTTTATTGGGATTTTTGGATCGGCAGAACAGCCAGGACGTCCGCTCATTTGGCCTGCGTGAGGAGTTGAACGGAGGCGGCAGTTTGCTCGGCTTGATCTGTTCAGGGTAAATCAAAGAAAGGTTTGTTAGAACCTGTATGAGGCCAAATCAAAGACGACGCGGGCTGTTCACGCAAGGCCGATCGGACAGGCTACTTGGCTGTTGAGACGGAGAGAAGATTTAAATAAGGAGATATTGAAACAGGGAGTGGTATTCTGAACGGAAGGAGGTTCGCAGACGTGCAAAATCAGGAGGCAGATCCAATTTTGCTTGGGCTGAAATCAAGAAGAAATCAGAGAAGATCGGAGGCATGGAAGCAGTTGAGGGCGGATTTTTTGCTTGATCTTGAATCAAGTTTCGATCGGTCTTGAAGTAGATTTTTTCGGTTCTTTGGTTGAAAGATCAGATTGGATCTTTGCGGTGGAGTTTTTGGATTTTTGGTGGAGTCCGGGGGGACACTGAGGTAGTGTCGGCTGCTCTTGGAGAGCAGGGTTGAAAGTGCGGGGCGCTGGGAGATGCGAGGTCGTGCGGTGCACGAGGAGGACGCATAGGAGCGTGGGGCACTGGTGACGAGCGGAGCGCAGGTGAAGGCGCAGGGCTCGCTGCACAGGTGGATGTGCAAGATGTGGTCGGAGAGAGACCACATGAGTGCAAGGCGCGGGCGCGAGCTTGTGGCGTTTGGACGCGGGCTGGAGGCGCAGGGAGCGGGCACTGAGGCGCAGGGTGCTGGTGGATGCACAAGGCGCGGAAGCCGGGCTAGGGGTGCTCGGGGATTGGCTGTGTTGGACGCAGTGCGACAGGATATTTGTCGGGAGGTGGAGCTTGAATGTCGGTGGACGTTTTTTGGCGGAGGAGACCGACATGATCATTCTTTGGCTGTTCTATCAAGAACAATAGTTATCTTTTGTTTTGTAAAATCTAGACTAAGGGGGTGATTGTTATGTATTAGTCCTAGATTTAGGTTTGCTTTTGTGTAGCTATTTGTATAGTTGTAGGTGTTGCTTTTGTGCGTATTAATAGGCTTTAGCTTGTATTAGGAAAGCAGCCAAGGGAAATAAAGTTTTTGAGATCATTTTTGGCTCACGGCTCTTCTCCCCTATCCCCCTCCTCTCTCCCTCTCTAGAGATCTTGCAAGAAGATCTCTCAACAAGATCTTCCTCCTTCGGTGTTTAACACTATGAAGCTATAAAAAAGCCATCTCAAATGAAACTAAGTTTGGATCAAGCCCCAGTTGAACATGAACAATTTTAGAATGACCGTTAAGTACAATTTATGATGTGTTTAGCTCGACTCGATTGGACCTTATTTATATAATATTTGTTTATGATTATTTATTTAGATGTTGGATAACTTTAAATAAAACTTTATTTGTTTAAAAATATTGGTAGGATAGAAAAAATAAGCAAGAATTGAGATTGTTAGAATATCAATTTTATTTTATTTTTCTATTTGACTTGGTTAATGAAAACATTAAACAAATACTTGGACATATTTAATACCCAAATGTATTATAAATAAAAATATAGTATTTAGTGAATTGTATTAATTTTGATAAAAAATTATGAATCTAATTTTTATGAATTATAAAATTATTTATTTAAATGATTAATAATTTATGCTAATAATATTTCACTTTTTAATAGTTTTAGTAAGGGTTTTAAACTGATCATTATCTATAAAAATAATGAGAATTAAGTATTACCTTACCTGAAAATTTTAGTTACAATAAGCCAAACATCAAGTTGACAATGGAATAATATGGAAAAGAAAACTACGTTGATGTTTTTTTTTTTTTTTGTTCTTTCTTCTATTTTTTAAATGAAAAATTAAATAATTGACGAAAGGAAGGTTTTTTTTTTCTTCAATTTATTAGTGTTAGATTTAAAACTTTTGTAATTACATGGTTTGATGAAGCAATAAAAAATATTATTATTATTATTATTATTATTATTTCCCTTAGTATTTATCCTTTTGATGCGTTGAGATTCCCCATAGTTCATTTGGATCTATAGCCATCTTTTTTTTTTTTATGTATATTTATTTAAATAGTCAATAATTTAACATAATATTCTAACTTGATATACAAAAGTATTAATATTTATTTGGTTGTAATCGGCTTGTTAACTTTTTATATAAATTGATGAAAAATATTATGTCAGGATATGTTAATGTAAATTATATCAGGCTGGGCTTAAAAATTATTATATTTATATTAAAATTAGTGTTGCTCTATTAGTAATTAAATTATTTGATAACTAAACTATCTTCTAATTATATTATTTATCATTATAATTTATTGAAGATAATTAAAATTGAAATTAATAAGTAACTTGCATTTAACAAGTAAATTAAATTCAAAATACAATCAATTTAAATTTTAAATGAACTAGCCGCCTTAAATATTGGATACATTGACAAACAGTTTCACAAGATTTTATAGAATTTATTAGGCATATTAAAATCAGGTTATTGGTCTAGTTCGGATCTAATTTGGAATTGACTCGACATAAATTGACCCAACCCGAAATTGACCCGCTTCGGACCCGGGTAAACCCTATAATTCATTTTTACCACCGATCCATTTTTGCCAACCACTCGTATAAAATTTTAATATCAAATATATCATTCATATAATTTATTTTTACCGTTCATATCATCTTATAAATTTTAATATTTTATTCAATGTATATATATTTATTTTATGAGTAATAAATATATAATATTAAAATTTTAGATATTAATATAGAAATAATAAGATGATATGTATGCGGAGCCAAGGATGAAAACTTGTAAGTTGTAACCACTCAATTGCAGCTTTAACTCGGATGCTTACAGTTTTAAATGCCACACACCAAAGATTCCTTTTTAAAGAGAATGATTTTAATGAACGGCGTCGAGATTAAGCCCGTCGTTTAAAATGACGAATTGACGGCTCGAGGCTCCGTTGTGGCCGTCACCCTTCACGCGCGTTCACACGCCGCGGAACCCAAACCACATTTAATTCCCCACTATTCGGCCATTAAGTCTATAAATACCCCCAGCTCGGTCAAGCGAAGATATTCCTCAGAAGTGTTTTGTGGCTGCACATAGATCCAGCGAGTAGCGCGTTTCTTTTGTCGATCAAGAAGTTCTTTCGAGATGAAGAAAGCCGGAATCATCTTCACGACCTCCCTTGCCGCCGCGTCTTCGCTCGTTTCATCTTCCTTTACCTATGATTACCGAGCCGGATCTCCCTTTGATAACGAGGTAGGGTTCCTGATCGAACCCCCAGGCAAAAACTTCTTATGCGTTTTGTTTTCATTGATTGCTAAGATTCGAAGCTTTTCTTCTAGGGTTATCGATGTACATCTTATGAGTCGAAGGAGGCGGGATCTGGATCGGTGAGAATCGGAGACAGTGATAAGTTTGCTCCGAGGTTTGATGGGCTGAGATTTATTGAAACTTTGGTTACGGCTCACAGGTGATGGACGAATTAGAAGTGCTGTTTGAGATGATTTACTCTATATTTTGATCGTTTTTTTGCTTACCCTTTTTGTCTGTTCTTTTTCTGACGGAGACTTTGATATCAAGGTCCTACTAAAATTACTGTTGTGTGGTAGGCATGAGATAACTACCAGTTTTGTTTGAAATTAGAAGGGAGTATATTGATATTGAAAAGAAGATGAGTTGTTTCTTCTTTATTGTTCTCGATTATTGCTTTGGATTCGAATTGATGAACTAATTTGATATAAATCACTTTTGCTTAAATGTTCTTCATTATTATCCTGGGGCAGATTTCTCAAACTTTGTTTAGATAGGAAATTTTGAAATCATTCGTACACTACACTTGTGAGGCCAGAACTGCGTGTATGGTCACGCTGATCGTGATGTGGAAAGAGCAATGCATATCTGGATTTTATATGATATTATGTTTTAAAAATATAAAGTATTTTAAGTTATAAATTATTTTAATTATATACTATTTTTAAAATAACTAATTTGATTACTTTTATTTGTTTCTTTCATCAAAGTTCCGGCGCTTTAGTAATATACTGTTCTTGCTTTTATGATTTTTTATTTTTTGTGAATTTCAGCCAATTTAATCATAATCATTAAAATTATCAATCCGGTTATCTGAACTCTCAATTCTATAATTAAAGTGAGAACCCCCAATTTCCAAGCTTCTTCGTTTGATTGGCACATGTCAAAAATTGGCCCCGGCCCCTTGCAAAATTTTAAATTTGTTTTTACCAATTCTCTCACAAAAAAATGAGTCTAAATTTATCTTGTTTTAGGTATGTTCCTAAAAAAACGTGGATCATATTTTCCGTATTACTTGTGTTAAATTTTGGAAATCTTTTTAACAATTAATTATGACCTTGAATATTAACAATTAATTAATTAATTAATTATTAATTTGGTGTATGAATTGATAATTTCATCGGAGTAGTTCTAGTTTAAACCCTAACACATCTTAAAATCATAATTTAGTTGGATTATTATTTTTTTGCTGTTTATTGATTTTTAGATATTTTAATGATAAAAGTTTATTTTTAACAATTATAATGGTGAACCTAGTAACCTCACTATTAAATTTTCTATCAATTTTATAAAGGTGGATTTACATACATTACATTTTATTTCTTGTTATTTATATATCTAACATTAATTATCACTCATAAAATAAATATAGATGAATGGTAGGGGTGGTACTAATGAAATATAGGAGTGATTTATTTGATATAAAATTTTATATTAGTGGTAGAAATGTAATATTATTGTTTGGATGTTAGAAATGTAAAATATCATGAAATAAAATGGTATGTATGTAATTCCCCTTATTTTAAATATTAAATTTATTAAAGCTTAAATAATTATTAATATTTGAATATTATTCCAACAGTGTTAAAACATGATTCAAATGAAATGATATAAATTTCAAAACTTGATTGACATTTGCGCGAATAAGATTCTAATTTGAAAAGGTTTAGGGTTAAATGTGTGAATTATTTTAAAATTCTAATTGTAGCTTCTCACCTTACTTGATTCTTCTTCATTATATAATTTTGCATCCAATGTTTGAAATTTAGGTTCGAAATAGGTGTTTGAACGTTTTATTCAAAACAAATATACGAACATATTTTGAACAAAAATTAAGCATTGAATATATCATTTATTGATATTCTAAATGTAAATGTATTTAAATTCAAAATTAAAATAATTTTTGGAATATATTTTCTTTAAATAAAAATATAATTTAAATATCTTTGTAAATAAGATAATTATAAGACAAATAAAGTTAAAAGCCCTTTATCATTTTGAATAAGTCACTAATCTGAGGCCACAAAAAAATGGTAGATTTTAAGAGACGTATAAACTTTGCCTTTAAAGTCTAAACTGCGATGTCCACCCTTATATATATCTTCCGGCCCCACAGGTTTGTTGTGTGGTGTGGCGAGGCCGTGGTGCTCATTGTGCTACGATTTTTATCTTAATTTTTGCCGTATTTTTTATCTGTTTGCCTGCCGTCAATTTTTTTCTTAATAAATCCAACTTTAAATCGAAAGAGATAGCTTCAGACCTTCCTTTTGGCGCTTTCGGTGGATTATGAGCATAATTTTTAAATATCTGATTCCGTCAAGTGGCCAATTTTATGGGATTCAAATTTATTTATTAAGTGATTATTTATTATTTATTAATACATTTATTTTTTTATAATTTTATAATAATTATTATCTGAAAAAATAATTTATTAATAAAGAGAACGGTTACAACAAAAGAAGGCAAACTAGAAAATGAAAAGACAAAATACATTGAAAGTGGGTAGTTGGGCTCAGTATTTGACCGAGATCTCCAGTGTCCCAACTCGCATGGGCCATCCAATAAGGTGATAAAAGCGTCCATTATACGACCCACAACGAAATGCACCAAAGGTTGCCACCAGCAAAAAGAAAGGGCACGAGCCCCGGCCACATCATTGCCCCAAAACAAACCGGAGAAAAACGGCGAGGACATAGTAAGGCATAATCCGAAAAACACAACATTTGTATCACAAAACAACAAATCCTCAACGTCTTCGGCGGCCCCTCCCACGGCCCCTACCACGTGAAACCTTCGAACGACCAACATTACCACGAACTAAAGAAAAATCATTCCCCGGGTCAGAGCCCCCGCAACAATCCGGTGAAATGAAACCAAAATCCGACTGCTCAGATTCAAAATCATCATCAGAAGATCCATGCACCCAATCTATTTGATCCAACCTATTAAAACTCAAAGAATTCACCAAATTGATCGTATCAACCTCATGAACCAGAACATTGACAAACTGAGTAGAGCTCTTTGAAGCCTCACTAAACATCTCCACTGGCACATTCACAGCAATATTAACATCATCAACAACAGGTAAAGCTAAATCACCAGGCGATACAACAGGGTCAACCGGATCACACCCAGGAATTGAAACAGCACCAACATCAATTTCAGGTAAGGCATCAACCCCCAACTCGATAGGGACATCCAACAAAACAAGGGAATCAGAGGACGAAACAATAACATGTAGAGATGTTACCTCCTCAGCAAAACCAACACCAGGGTTTAAAGAAACCACCCCAGTACCCGAATTTGCAACATGAAGAGGAACAGAGAGAAGATTCGGGGTTGGAGAGGAAACAGTTTCAGGAGGATTAAAAAAATGATTTAACCCGGCATCCGCCGGAGGGGGAACCGAATTCACAAGTGATCTTAAATGAGGAAATGATTTAGAGCATTCCGATTTTTTGTGACCAACTACCTTACAATGCTGACAAAAACTTGGAACATCTTCAAAAAACACCTTTTGAACATACCCACACTTCTCGGGACCCAACCACACTGAATCCGGGTGAGATTTAGAGATATCGATTTCAACCAGCAGACGAGCAACTGAGGGGCGCGATCCCACAGCCGTCGCTTTATCAGTTTGAATCGGCCGCCCAAAAATCGATCCCAAACCAAATAAAATTTTGGGAGAAAACAGGTGAGGACGTAAACCTGGAAATGAAACCCACACAGGGACGATCGGCGACTCCTCCGACAGGTCGAGGAGAGGCGACCATTTGATGATTTTCATGAAACAGCCAGAGACAAAATAGGAACGATGAGCAAAAATCCTTCCATAATCTAAATCATTGCCAAGCTTAATCAACACATTCTTTTGATCTAATAAGGTGACCGAAAAATCACCGGAGAGTTTAAGGTTGAAAAAAAATTTCCAAAAAGAATCTAACACCGGACGTTTCAGAGGAAACTTACCAACTAAAGCATACTCGAAAGGTTTAGCAAGATGGAAAAACTCCTCTGAAAACCATAACGCCGGCAAACCACGAATGTTAGACACGCGACATTCCGGGAAAACATCCGAAGAAATCGAACCAGATAGCACATCCTTGAAGGATTTAAAGTTCTTACCTTCAATAAAACCTGAATCCAAACGTTTATTTGCCATGGAAATGCAATCTCACCGGCGAGAAAGCAAACGGCGGCTAGGGTTCACGAAGGGAAAACCCTAGCAGACGCATTGCGCTCAAAAGAAAGGGCCAATTATTCGATTTTATACATCACACCTAATTATTATTTATCTTAATGTTATTTAAAAAAAATTATAATTGATTAATGCAAAAATAATATTGCATGTGGATTATCTTGATGATATACATGTTGATACCTAGAATGTGGGCTCCTCCTCTCAAGTCGATTCCTTGGTTGAGTTTTGAGAGTGAATGTCTTGAATGAGTCATTGAGATCAAGGTGGGCGGCTGAGTCTATGTAAGTGATTCCTCTAGAAATAAGAGGTGAGTCTCTACAAAAGAGTGCCAACTTCCCGAAAAAAAGGCGATTTCCTTGGATAATGGTAGTTGTAAGCCAAGGATGAGCGAAGGCAGTGAAGCGTGGTCACATGCTTTGCGCATGCGCGCTTCATATAGCTTGATGTTTGTGATAGGTGAATGGACTTGATTGCAAATAGATATTGTGGGAGCTCAGTAGTAATCCTAAAGGTGTTTCAAGTCTCTCACTAATCCTTTGCTTATGGGACTTAATACTATGATCCTAATAGGGAGAGTGAATGTTTGATCATGGGCAGATGCCAACTACCATTCTAGAGGTTAAATATTACCTTAGGAGAGTGCCACTTCGATCATGTGACCCTATTATCGAATTCCATGAAGAGAACTTGCTAGATATTTCGAAATTTGGTTTGAGATAACTTTCATACTGTTTTTTAAAATAATTTTCTAATTCAAAAAATTTTTGTATTAGAAAGTTGTTTAAAAAGCAGCAAAAAAAACTATTCTAAACAAAATCTGAATTTATCTCTCAACTTAAAATTCTAAATTTGATACATTCAATTCAATTTCAGTCGAAACTAATTAAAAAGTTGTTAATATTTTTTCATCATTCTTTATTTGGACATCAAACAAGCTCCGGCTTGTATCGACAGATTAGTTTGGGATTAGGACATTCTTGACTTTTTCGATTAGGTTTAGAGGTAACCTTTAATAACAAAATATTAATATTTTGAGCACTCAAGATGAGAAAATTAATTCTATAATAAAGTCAATACTTTGAAAGAGCTTTAATTAATATTTCAATTTACGGTACTGTATTAGAATATTATCTACATGCTGTATTTTCCAATATAAAATAAAGCTTTATCTTACGGATCTTGTTTATTATAATATTTGGATGATTGCATTAATGAGTTTTATTAATTGAGTTTTCATAATTTT